GGAGCGGAGCGGAGCATCCCCGCACCGCCGCTCGCCCTTCCGCCGTGGGTCGGGTCCGTCCCCCGCTGCCCCCGGAGCGCAGCCGCCACCTCGGGTCGGGGTGTGCATCACCGGGATCTTTCCGGCCGGTGGAGGGTTCCGCACGCCCGGCCGGTGCCGGGGAGGACGGTCACGCCGCCGCAGCCCCCGCCTCGCCGCCGTCCTTGAGCATCCCTTCCCCGGGAGCCGCGGGGACAGAGCGGCGCGGGGCCGGCGGGTCCCCGCCCTCCGAGCGGGCTCGGTGCGTGCCGTGAGGGAGGTGGGGAGTCGCTCTGTGTAAGATGGAGGGGCTGGAGCACAAAGCAGGGATTGAGTTTTGCCCCCGGCGTGACGCTGCGGCATGGCTGCCCCCGTTTGGGGTCTGCGGGGGGCACTCGGGTGACCTTGGCCAGTCGGGACCGAGGTGCCTGGGCTTGTCCCTGCTCCGGGAGTCACTGGTGCCGCGGGGCAGCGTGAGTTGAGCCTTTCCCTGCTCTGCTGGGTACAGCATACACATGCTGGTTTGGGGGACCCGTCGGGTGTGTGTGTGCCAGCCCCGGCAGAGCTGGAGGCACCCCATGGTGTCTCTGGCTCCTGGGCCTCGCCCCATGGCTTCAGTGCTTTTGGGATGTCACCTGTGACCCCTGTGCTGCCCTTGTGGGGCAACCCCTGTGGGGCTGCTAAGGAGAATCTGGGGTCACCTCCTGCCCCTGTTCAGCCCCTGGCCCTGGGGGTTCTGGTGTGGGGCTGGGAGAGTGTTGGTGTCACATTTGGTCATGGCCATGTGCCCTGTGCAGGACATGGTTCCCCAAAGCCCTGCTCCTCTCCCAGCAATGCCAGTGTGGGAGAGGGGGCTTTGCTTCCTGCTCTGGGGCAGGGATTTCTGTCCAGGTGAGAAATCACCCGCTGGAGCAGGGGGTGGTGGTGGGAGATGCTTGGAGCTGGGCAGCCCAGCAGCACATCCCAGGTACGTGGTCATAATTACCCCCTTCCTGGGCGGCAATGCCTGCAGGGCTCTGTTCCAAAAATTGCTGTGGGGATGAAGGGGGCCATGTTCATCCTGGCTCTGGCCAGTCCCTGATGTCTGGGAAGTGCAGGGTACACGGGGCTGGGACTGCCTGTGTTGCTCCATCCTGGGGTTTGGGCATCCCAGAGGGACAGTGGTGGCTGTTGATTATGCCCTGGCACCCCGGTTGGTGGAGGTGCCCAGCAGGTGTCCTTTCCAATGCCAGGCCCACCCTGTCCTGTCCCCAGTTCAGCCAGGGTCGCAGTGCCACTCAGGTGACATTAAGTGCCTTCACCAGCTGCTCAGGCTCTGGTGCTCACTGGGCTCCTCCTGCACCTCTGTGGCTCCGACGTCGGGGAATGGGTGTCTCCACATGGAGCAGGTCCGGCTGCAGCCCCCGAGCTCTGCTCCCCTCCCCTCCACCGCTGCCTGTCCCCCCCAGCTCCTTGCAGCCCCCTTGGAGGCTGCAGGGCCTCAATGACCTACTCAGCTGCTGACCTGAAAGGGGCTGTGCTCATCCTGCTGGAAGATGCTCCGTGCCCGTCTGTGCCGGATGGCCGCGGGCACAGCCCCGTGCTGCGGAGCTGGCCGGGCTCGTGGGGTATGTGGCAGCTGCTGCCCCGGCGCGGCGGTGACTGACGGCCCTGGAAATGGGCTTGTGCACGGTCCACTGAGCCCCTGGCATGGAGTATCTGCCCCGGCACCGCGGCGGTGCCTGTACCTGCTGCCTGTGCCACCGTGGGTGCAGGGGGGGGCAGGGTGCAGCCGGGCAGTGGGTGGGGGCCGCCCGAGGAAGGGTGGGTTCCACAGGGTGGCTGGTTTGTTTGCTCCAGCTGGTCCCTGCCCTCTCCGGTGACCCTCCCGACCCTCTCAGCGGGGCAGGTTGCAGGGGCTCGGTGCCAGGCACAGTGCTGCCAGCCCTGCTGGCATGGACACTGGCCTCCCTGCCCTGCGCAGGTACCTTCCGTCCCCAAAAAACCCCGTGGGGGCCTCAATGGCGAGACGGGTGGTGGGGGCTCATGTGCCAGTGGGGCACCGAGCCTGTGCTGGGCTGCAGCCAGCTGTGGCCACTGAGTGCCAGCTCCTGCCGCGGCCCTGCAGCGGGTGCCACCAGGAGCTGAGGTTTGTGCCCCCACATCCGGGAAATCCCACGGGTGGCAGGACCTGCCGGGCAGAGCTGGGGCTGACGCCGGCTCTGCCCTTGCAGCTGGGATGAGAGCAGCTCCATCAGCAGCGGCCTCAGCGATGCCTCCGACAACCTCAGCTCGGAGGAGTTCAACGCCAGCTCCTCGCTCAACTCCCTGCCCTCCACCCCCACCGCCTCGCGCAGGAACTCGGCCATAGCGGTAGGTGCCTCTGGTGCCCGGACCCTTCCTGGCACTAGTCCACGGTGGGAAAATTACCATCAAATGATGTTTATAGGTCTTTAGATTTGTGTGTGCCTGGAATATCACAAGGCTGACTCTTGTCTCAAGACTGCTCACACAAAATGTGAAGTGCGCTTCTTATTTAAAGTAAAATCAAAGTAGAAATGGGTCAAAATCTTCCTGTTGAAAGTTAATTCAAGGAAGGAAATGTGCACCCGAATGTCTTCTGTCCTTTGAACTTCCAACCTAGATATTTTATTTTAGGAATTATAATTGGTTAAACTTGCAGGGTTGGAGGTGTGTAGTTTTGGACATGCCATTTTCTTTGGGGCTATTTTATAGGCTGGTATAATCCTACACAGTTCTACAGCAACCCGACTTTCTGGTCATAAACTACTTCACCCAAGTGCTCTATAGCACTGTGGCTTGGTGCCAGTCTCTGTGGGACAGAGGGGTTGGAGGGTGCCGGGGTGGGAAAACCGAGGCAAGGGCACAGGGTGTCTGCTCTGTGGGGATAGGTTTGGGGGGTGCCAGGAACACCCCTGACTCTGCTTTGCCTACAGCTGCGCACGGACTCGGAGAAGCGCTCGCTGGCAGAGAGCGGGCTGAGTTGGTACGGTGAGGGGGAGGACAAGGCGCCCAAGAAGCTGGACTACGACAGCAGCAGCCTCAAGATGGAGCACAGCTCCTCCAAGTGGCGGCGGGAGCCCTCGGAGGGTGGTGAGGAGGGGCCCAAGGGCGGAGAGCTGAAGAAACCCGTCAGCCTGGGCACCCCGGGCTCCCTCAAGAAGGGCAAGACCCCTCCGGTGGCTGTGACCTCCCCCATCACCCACACAGCCCAGAGCACCCTCAAAGTGGCAGGTAAGATGTGATTCAGGTAGGGTCAGGTTTCTCTGGTGGGGAGAGGGTTGGGTGGCATCTTTGTGGGCCTTCCCCGAGCATGTCGGCCACTGGGCTCCCTGTGGCTTGGACCTGGCAGCTGGATGTGGGCTGGAGGGGGTGGCAGGGCTGGGCACCTACGTGGGCAGCTTATGGGTCTGGCCCCACGCTGAGCCCTGTTTGGCCAGGGCCGTACCTGTCCCATGGCCTCATGGCCACGTGCTGGACTGGGGGCTGGCTGTGGCTCTGCCCCAACACCTGGGACAGTGGCATGTCCCTTCATCTCCATCGCATCCCTGCGTCCCCCATGCTGGCATCTGATCTGGGCTAGTTTGCACCCAAATGTCCCCAAAGCCTCCCAGACACTAACCCGTCCTTCCCTGCGCACCAGGCAAGCCTGAGACCAAAGCCACTGACAAGAGCAAGCTGTCTGTGAAGGGCACAGGGCTGCAGCGCTCCTCCTCCGACGCTGGCCGGGACCGCGCCGCCGATGCCAAGAAGCCACCCTCGGGTCTCACGCGCCCCTCGGCCTCCAGCTCCTTCGGCTACAAGAAACCGGCTCCCGCCACAGGCACAGCCACCGTCATGCAGGCGGGCGGCTCGGCCACGCTCGGCAAGATCCAGAAGAGCTCCGGCATCCCCGTCAAGCCGGTCAGTGGGAGGAAAACAAGTTTGGACGTCTCCAACGCAGCCGAGCCTGGCTTCCTGGCCCCAGGGGCTCGTTCCAACATCCAGTACCGCAGCCTGCCCCGGCCGGCCAAGTCCAGCTCCATGAGCGTGACCGGTGGCCGTGGCGCCAACCGCCCGGTCAGCAGCAGCATCGATCCCAGCCTGCTGAGCACCAAGCAGGGCAGCATCTCGGTGTCGCGGCTCAAGGAGCCGTCCAAGATCGGCGCCGGCCGTGGCACGCCAGCCCCTGTGAACCAGACGGACCGCGAGAAGGAGAAGGCTAAGGCCAAGGCGGTGGCACTTGACTCCGAGTGCGGGACGCTGAAGAGCGTCAGCTCACCTGAGAGCACCCCAAAAGCCCAGGCCAACCTCCCGCCGGCGGCCAAGGTGGCCGAGCTGCCCCCCACGCCTCTCAGGTATGATCCTTCCACCCCCAAGGACAGCAGGTCGCTGGCACGGCTGCACCCAGCACCCAGCCATGCCCAGCACCCAAGTCTCACCTGCTTTCTTACCTGTTTTCCCCCTTCCAGAGCCGCTGCCAAGACCTATGTGAAGCCTCCCTCGCTGGCCAACTTGGACAAGGTCAACTCCAACAGCCTGGACTTACCCTCCTCCAACGAGCTGCACCCCCCACACACTGCCAAGCTCCAGGACCTGCACCCGGCTGGCGGGCACCTCGCACCCTGCTTCAGCCCCAGTCCTGCCCCCATCCTCAACATCAACTCGGCCAGCTTCTCCCAGGGCCTGGAGCTCATGGGCGGCTTCAGCGTCCCCAAGGAGGGCAGGATGTACCCCAAGCTCTCAGGCCTGCACCGCAGCATGGAGTCCCTGCAGATGCCCATGAGTCTGCCCAGTGCCTTCTCAGGGGGCAGCACCACCACCCCCCCTGCCCCTGCGGCCGCACCCCCCGCCAGCACGGAGGAGGAGGAAGAGGCAGGGGAGCTGGGCTGGAGCGGGAGCCCCCGGCTCTCCCATCTGGACAGGTATGGCTGGAGGGAGGGCAAGGGGCTGCTGGGGCACCTCCATGGGCACGGAACCCTTCCTGCCATGGCCTTTGCCTGCTTCAAAGGCTTGTTCCTGCTACCTTTCTGTGGAAAAGCTCCCCGTCCCTGCAGCTCAGACCCCACGGCACCTTCCCTTGTCTGCGTGGGGATGTCATTGATCTTTCCTTCCTTTCCAGTGCCAACCGCGACAGGAACACGCTGCCGAAGAAAGGGTTGAGGTAAAAGAGCCCAAACCACTTTTGGGTGGTGCTGGGGAGGGAGGGTGGGCATGTGGAGCTTTCTTGGGGGGGGCTGGCAGTGCCCTCCATGCTGTGGAAGGCTGGGCCGTGGTGCAGTGGGCAGGAGCTGGGCCCACCTCACCCTGCTGGTCTCTGCTCTGCTCCCCAGGTACCAGCTCCACTCCCAGGAGGAGGCCAAGGAGCGGCGCCATTCACACGCCATCAGCAGCGGGCTCCCCGAGTCGGACGACCAGCAGGACCTGCCCTCGCCCCCTGCCCTCCCCATGGCGCTGGTCGGGAAGGGGCCGCTCACCAGCATCGGTCAGTGCCCTCACCGCCAGCCCCCTTCTGCTTGCTGCAAGCCCTGTCCCTCCTGCCCCCCATCGCCCCCCGCTCCCTGTGGGACTCGCTGGTGCTGCACTGGGTGCTGCTTTTCTCCTTGACACCCGTGGCCGCCCTCAAACCCAGCGCCTGGTGCTTTTGGTCCACTGAGGTGCTGGGTTGTGCCCCCGGGCCAGGGGGGTCCATCACCTCTGCTTTAGGGCATCTCATCCACCCTCAGAGCTCTGCCTGTGGCTCCCTGCCCCTCTGGGGGTGCTCGGTGGGGCAAGGGGTGAGCCCTGCCCTGCTCTTGACAGGGCTTACATGTTCCTGGAGGATTTGGGGGTGTCCAGGCATGCGGGTTGGGTCTGAGGTGGGGAACAATATGTGATGAGGTCCTCCCCTCCTGCACCCACAGGTGATGGGCTCTGGCATGGTGGTCCCTTTGTCCTTGAGTGATGGATTTCTTTCTCAGCCCTCGGTTACCTTGGTGCTGGTGTCCGGGTCTGCCCAGTGTAAATCTATGTTTTAGCTTTCCCGCAGTCTCCTGCTTTGGGACCGTGATCCCTGCTTCCGCTCTGCATCCCAGCCCTGCTTCCCCATCCCAATCCCAGGTCCCTGGCGTGACTCTGACCCTGCCTCTCCCCTGCCTTCTCCTTGTAGTGAGCCCCACTGCTGCCACAACCCCGCGGATCACCCGCTCCAACAGCATCCCCACCCACGACTCCACCTTCGAGCTGTACAGCACATCCCAGATGGGCAGCACCCTCTCCCTGGCCGACAAGCCCAAGGGCATGATCCGCTCGGGCTCTTTCCGGGACCCTGTGGACGATGGTGAGAGTCTGCTGTGCTCCTGCCCAGGCGAAGGAGGCTCCCCAAGGGGACGGAGGGACTCCCCACACAGTTGTCCCTTCCTCTTGGCACTGCTGTGGTGCTGTCAGATGGGCTGGTGCATCCCCTGCTCAGTGTCAGCAAGGCAGCCCCCGGGGGCCTGGTGGACCTCTCTGTGCTGGCATCTGCTCTGGGCCAGAGCCTGAGCTGACCCTCGTGGGTGCCCAGTGTCCCGTGTTGGCCCCAGGAGATTGTGGCACCAGGGAGGGGGGGATAACAAGCAGCCAGAGAGGGTGACAGAGCCTGGGGGTGGTGCAGGTGCAGGGTGCTTCCCATGCCCTGCTGCCATCTGGGGAGGTCACCAGCCACATGTCAATAACCAAGCAGTGCTGAGCAGCTGCCAGCTCACCCTCTGCCCCTCCAGCTCCCCACAGAGCCCCCCCCTTCACTGGGACCTCCGTCCCTTGCACCCTGCTATGCCCTGCGCCTGCAGCCCCTGGGGATGCCACTGGCTGGGGCACGCTGACACCCTGGGTTTTATTCTGTTGCAGTTCATGGATCGGTGCTGTCCCTGGCCTCGAGCGCATCCTCCACATACTCCTCCGTAAGAGCCGCCTTTGTGCTGCGCCGCTTTGTGCATGGCTGGGGGGGTGGGTGGGAAGGGGGGGCTCTGTGCATGCCTCTGCCTTGTGCCGAGCCTGTCCGTGCCTCGCTGCCTTCCTGACTCCCTGCCTCTGTCTGTCTGTCCCTCTCTGCTCTCATGCTGCCAGGCTGAGGAGAAGATGCAGTCTGAGGTGAGCCCGCACCTTCTGCTTGTCGCCCGCCCCTGTCACCCTGGGGAGGTGGGTACCCGGCCCCTCTCACTCCCTCTGCTCTCTCCCCACAGCAAATCCGCAAGCTGCGCCGTGAGCTGGAGTCCTCGCAGGAGAAGGTGGCCACCCTGACGTCCCAGCTGTCTGCTAATGTGAGTCCCTGCAGGACACCACCCACTGCAGGACACGCTGCTCTGTGTCCCTGCCCTGCGTGGGGCTGGTGCTAACCTGTGCCCGTGAGAGCCTTCGTTTCTCCTCTCCACCCCACGCCTGGCAGTGGGTGCTTGCCCAGGCATGGGTGCTCACCCCTTTCTCCACCTCTCCCAGGCCAATCTGGTGGCAGCTTTTGAGCAGAGCCTGGTGAGCATGACGTCCCGCCTGCGGCACTTGGCTGAGACCGCTGAGGAGAAGGTGGGTGCTGTTGGGGTACCAGGCAGGCACTGGGGGGCACTGGCAGCACGGGAGGGTGCTCATGGAGCTGGAGGATGCTGGACTTGGGTGAACCTGCTGTGGCACTGCCCACCCAAGGGTGCTCTCGGGGTGGGTGAGCTCTGTGCTATCAGAACACACTCTATGGCTCCCACTCTGCTCCCCCAGGACACGGAGCTGCTGGACCTGCGAGAGACCATTGACTTCCTGAAGAAGAAGAACTCAGAGGCCCAAGCCGTGATCCAGGGTGCCCTGAATGGCACTGATGTCACCCCCAAAGGTAAGGAAGGTATGGCACTGCAGCCCCCCTCCCCCAGCGATACAGCCCTTCTTTAGCTACTTGCCTAAAGCCAGGTGGGCCGCTCCTGCCTGGGGCTGGCACAGGACCCCAGGGGACACCTCATTCACAGGAGGTGGTCACACGGGGTGCAGGGTCCCCTGGGCAGCAACAGCTCTTCCCCACCTGGGACCCCTGATCATCTGAAGCCAGGGTTGGACAGCCAGAGATGTTGCTGTGGGAGGTCTCAGTGCTGGTGCCTGGGGGTGATGTCCCTGGGACACTTCACTGGGCCCTTTGCTGACAGCCCAGTTTTGGCTGCTGGTCTTGGCTTTGTTCCCATGGGTGCTGTTTCTATGGCCCCAGAGCCCCAGTGTGAGTGCAAAGTGCTGGCAGGGAGGTGGCCTGGGACAGAAGCAGAACAATGTGTGCTCTGGGTATCTCCCTGGGGTTTGAGGACACTGTCCCAAATGGCAGTGCCTGTGGGGTGTCTAAGCCCCATGTCATCTTAGGAGGTGGCTCCAAGAGCTCAGAAGGTGTGTGGGTGGGAGAAGGGAAGGGGTGCACAGGGGAGTGTGTGGGTGGCTCTGGTGTTGGGGCAGGTGCAGTTTGCTGATACCTCTTTTCCCATTCTCTCCCACTTCTCTCGCTGGCCCCAGAGCTGCGCATCAAGCGGCAGAACTCCTCTGACAGCATCTCCAGCCTCAACAGCATCACCAGCCACTCCAGCATTGGCAGCAGCAAGGATGCTGATGCCAAGAAGAAGAAGAAGAAGAGCTGGGTGGGTTGGATGGGGTGCTGACAGGAGGAGTGGGCCTTGGGGAGTGTCTGGTTGGGGTCAGCCCCCCGAGCCAGCTGCTTGTGGTCTACCTTGGCATTGAGGTGTTGATCCCCTCTGTCCCTGGGGGACAGCACTGGCGAGGAGAGTGTGGCCACCATGGATTTGTGTCTTGAAGTGTCAGCTGGCACTTCTTCAGCCCCTCTGGGAGTTTGCCAGCCCTAGTCCTGCTCGCCTGCTCCCTTGTTTGTTCCCCATGTGTGTCCCTTCTGCCCACTCAGGCTCTGGCAGCGTGGGGGGCTGGACACCTTGGCCAGGCAGCCCCTTCCCTGTGCCATGTAGTTCTGAGCTGGACGCGTGATTAAGTCTTGCTTTGTTTTGTTTCTCTCCCCCTATGCTGACCTCAACCCTTTTTTTCCAGGTGTACGAGGTAAGTCCTACGCTGTCCCCTCCACGCCATACTGTGCCCGGCCAGGGCCCTCGCTCCATTCTGTGGGACGGTGCTCATGACACTACCCATTCCATCCATCCCACCAGCACTAACCCCCAGCACGGGCTATCCCGGAGCCCCAGCTGGGCTCCACGCACCTTGGCTGCTTCCTTACATGTTGAAGCCAAAATATGCACTCACATGGAGGGGCTGAACTGCCCCGGGTGGCCCTGAGGCGGGAGGAAGGGCTCAGATGGGGACGTGTCCCAGAGATGGGGACAGTCCCCTTCTCGCCTTGGGGAGGCAGGCACTCACCTGACTCCCTGCAGCCAGATCTTTTGGGACAGGGACCTCACTGCAGCCCTGCCGGTGGCACCATGGCGTGGTGCTGCCATTGCCAGGGCTGGCCTGACATGCCCTGGGTGACTGTCCCTGTTGGGACCCATGTGGGTCCCAGTGCTTTCCTGCCATCAGCAGAACCTGACTGGGTTTTTTATGCTGAAATGCAATGTTTTTTGTTTTGGGGACTCCCCACACCAGCTTGCTTGGTGCCTGTGGGAGCTGAGCTGGATCCTGCCCACTCTCCGTCCCCTCTCCCTCCCACCTCCCCCCGGAGCAGGCCCTGGTCCTTCCGGGGGACTCAGTGTGAGCCCGGGGTGCTCCTTTGCAGGCTGGTGGTGCGTAAGCGGGACCCAGGCCCGGTTTGGCCCCTGCAGTGTCCTTCTGTCCTCCCCGGCCCCAGCACGCCGCTCACCCGCCCGCTGCTTGCTGTGCTGTCTGCATGCTGCATGCCCCGCTGGCACCCCCGGGCATCTCACGGGGGGCTGGCTGCCCTCTCTGCTTCCAGGAGGAACCCCACAGCGCAGAGGGGGGTGTGGGGCTGACATTGTCCCACCAGGACTCCAGCTCCGCAGTGGCTGGAGGAGGGGATGTCCCCCGAAATGCCACTTGCTGGGGTGGCTGCAGTGGGGTCAATGTGCGGATGGCATCAGCCCTTCCCAGTGTACCAGGGGCTGGTGCGGTGCCTGAACACCCTGATGTGGGTGCTGGGGAAGGAGGACTGGGGGGATCCTGACTGGTATGTAGGTCCCGCTCTGTGGGGCTGTTTGGCTATGTCCAGGCCGGGGCTGGTGCATTGTACAGAGGGCTGTGCTCCCCATCCATGAGCTGTGCCAGCAGCACGGGCTCAGGCCGGAGCCGTCCCTGGGGCAGGGGTGGGCACCATCCTCCCACAGGGATGGATATGGTGTTACTGGTCCCAGCCCAGACTTTGGGTCCTGTGCAGGCGAGGGCCCTGGGGTAGGACAAGGACCTGCTCGCAAGGCTGTGCTGTTGGGCTGTCTGTAACAGGAGCATTTCTGTCTCCTGTAGCTACGCAGCTCCTTCAACAAGGCCTTCAGCATTAAGAAGGGACCCAAGTCAGCCTCGTCCTACTCAGATATTGAAGAAATCGCCACACCAGACTCGTCGGCCCCCTCCTCCCCCAAGCTGCAGCATGGCTCCACAGAGACCGCCTCGCCCTCCATCAAATCCTCCACGTCCTCCTCCGTGGGCATCGACACGGCTGAGTACGTGGGGCCAGGGCTGGTGGCACAGGGTGGGGAGGGCCAGTCCCGGGGGCTGCAAGCTCCTGCCCTGGACACGTGCAAGACTCGGTCTCTCCCTTGGCCCAGGCTCTTCCAAGGCCATGGCGAGGGCGAGCCGGAGAAGAAGGAAGTGTCAGAGCTGCGGTCAGAGCTGTGGGAGAAGGAGATGAAGCTGACGGACATCCGCCTGGAGGCCCTCAACTCGGCCCACCAGCTGGAGCAGCTGAGGGAGACGATGCACAACATGCAGGTGAGGACCACTGCCAGAAGCCCGGCTGGCTCTGAGCACCTGGGCGGCCACAGTCCCTGCGCCCCCACAGCCCTGCTGCGGCCCTGGGGTGCTGCTGGTGTCCAGCTCCTCACCCTGTGCTGTAACGGGTTCTCCCCCAGCTGGAGGTGGATCTCCTGAAGGCAGAGAACGACCGGCTCAAAGTGGCCCCGGGACCCTCGGTGGTGCCAGGCTCCGTTCCTGGCCACATCACGAGCACATCGGCCTCTTCTTCCCCGCGGCGCTCCCTGGGTCTCACCCTTGGCCATGCCTTCAGTCCCAGCCTGGGGGACGCAGGTAGGGGTGATGGACCTGCTGGCGGACGGGGAAGGGTTGGGACAGAGACGTGTGTGGTGGGAATGTGCTGCTGCTCGCCTGGAAGCAGCTGAGCACAGGGATCTGTCGTGCTGCCAGTGCCATGATCTGCTGCAGCAGGATTTGGCTCAGGCTGGGCACGGTCAGGCTCGGTGGCTCGGCTCTCCCAGCCAGCACAACCTCACTGCTCTGTCCCTAGATGTGTCCCCCATGGACGCCGTCAGCGCTGGCACCCAGAAGGATGAGCTGACGCTGCGAATTGTGGTGCGCATGCCACCCCAGCACATCATCAAGGGGGTGAGTGTGGACTGTGTGGGGAGCCTGCCTTGCCCCAGTGCCATGGCCCTGGACGAGGGGCAGAGGACACCCATCTTGGGTACGGTGCTCCAACCTGTGCACCTCTGCCTTGGCTCCTAGGACCTCAAGCAGCAGGAGTTTTTCCTGGGTTGGACCAAGGTGAGCGGGAAGGTGGACTGGAAGATGCTGGATGAGGCCGTTTGCCAAGTCTTCAAGGTAGGAATAGGAAGACCCTGCTTTTGAGACCCATCTTTTATGCTTCTCCACCATGTCTGATGCTCCTTGGCCCAGGTCCTTACCGGGGTCTCCTGGAGCTGCTGAGCACCACTTGCTCCCTGCCAGCCCTCAGGGGCACCGACAGCCCTGTCCTTGTCCTCGTAGGATTACATCACCAAGATGGATCCTGCTTCCACGCTGGGGCTCAGCACCGAGTCCGTCTACGGCTACAGCATCAGCCACATCAAGCGCATCCTGGACACGGAGCCACCGGAGCTGCCGCTTTGCCGCAGGGGCCTGACCAGCATCGTCGTGACGCTCAAAGGTCAGTGTGGCTGAGAGGCTCCATTGCTGTCCCATCTTCCCTCTGCTGTGGGGTGTCGTGGGGCAGGAGCGGGACCCTTAGCCCTTCTCTGTCTGCAGGCTTGAAGGAGAAGTGTGTGGACAGCCTGGTGTTTGAGACTCTCATCCCCAAGCCCATGATGCAGCATTACATCAGCCTCCTGCTGAAGCACCGGCGGCTCATCCTCTCGGGGCCCAGCGGCACCGGCAAGACCTACCTGACCAACCGCCTGGCCGAGTACCTGGTGGAGCGCTCGGGTCGGGATGTCACCGAGGGCATCGTCAGCACCTTCAACATGCACCAGCAGTCCTGCAAGGTGAGGGCGTGCAGCAGCCCGGGAGCATCCCTATGGGCACTGGTGCTGGGGTCCCCCTTGGCAGCCGTGCCATGGCCCCACGCGTGACACCCGGCCCGTTTGTTGCAGGACCTGCAGCTGTACCTCTCCAACCTGGCCAACCAGATTGACAGGGAGACGGGCACGGCAGATGTGCCCCTGGTCATCCTCCTGGACGACCTCAGCGAGGCAGGTTCCATCAGTGAGCTCGTCAACGGTGCGCTCACCTGCAAGTACCACAAATGGTAAGGGCCCCACTGCACCCTCCTCCATGCAGCCTCTCAGGCTCATGCGCGCTCCCCGCTGCTCTCCAGGATCCCTGGGCTTGTGGAGATGAGTCTGCACGGCTGCGTGTGTCTGCTGTGCTCACATCAGCTGTGCCATGGGCCAGGGTGATGCAGGGTGCTTTTTCTCATGGATCTTGTCTCTCTCTGTCATTCACTCAGCCCCTACATCATTGGGACCACCAACCAGCCTGTGAAGATGACTCCAAACCACGGCCTCCATCTCAGCTTCAGGTGGGGATCATACATCTGTGGGAGACCATCCCTGTGGGGTTGGGGTGGGTAGAGGCCATCACTGCTGCCCCTTGGGCAGTCCTGGGGACACGTCCTGTGATTGGGGACCCTGATGAGGACCGAGCCCCAGGCCTGTCCCTGCCAGAAGGACCTGATACCCCAACATTGGGCACATGCAGTGTGGGGGTGCTAGGAGGTGTCCTGAGGATGCTGGGGAGCAAGGAAGCTTGTGTGGAGACCCAGCCCCGGACACCCGACTCTTTCCCCCAGGATGCTGACCTTCTCGAACAACGTGGAGCCGGCCAACGGCTTCCTGGTGCGCTACCTGCGGCGGAAGCTGCTGGAGTCAGACACGGACGTCAACGCCAACAAGGAGGAGCTGCTGCGTGTGCTGGACTGGGTGCCCAAGCTTTGGTACCACTTGCACACCTTCCTGGAGAAGCACAGCACCTCCGACTTCCTCATCGGTATGGCCCTGCCACCCACCTCCCTCCTCTGCCTCGCACTGCCAGGAGCTGTGGGAGCCCCTAGGGGCTGGGACAAAACCCTCCCCAAGGAGTGTGGGGAGCTGACACGTGCCCCGTGTCCCCCAGCCCCACAGAAAAAATGACGTGGGCGATGCACACAGTATTGCTCCTCCCTGGGTGGCACTTGTTCCCGTGCCCTGTGGGAGCTGTCACTGTGGTGTCAGGCGATGCTGCCTGTCCCGTTGGCACCTGCCTTGGGCACGGAGAGCCATGTTTTCCCAGGCAGGTCTCCCTTTGCCTCGCTGTATTTTTGGGGGATAGATGGAACATAGCAGCCCCTTCCCTTGCCCAGGAGCTGGTGTTCTGCCTGTGTGCATCAGGCAGGTGCTGCTTGGGCACAGCTCCCAGGAGGTGGTTGAGCCTGGGGCACCCTGCGCAGCCAGGCTTGCCCGCCTTGGTGCCGTGCTGCCACGGGGCCAGTGACTGGAGGAGGGGGACCTAGCTTCCATTTTCACTGTCTGCCTTTCCCCCACAGGTCCCTGCTTCTTCCTGTCCTGCCCCATTGGAATTGAGGATTTCCGGACCTGGTTCATCGACCTGTGGAACAACTCCATCATCCCTTACCTGCAGGAGGGGGCAAAAGATGGACTCAAGGTACCCAGACCTGCCTGGCATGTGGGGACACAAGCCAGTGGTGCTTGGGGACATGCTGATGTAGCAGTCTTAAAGGGGCAGGGAGAGGGGAAAAGCTGGGATTTTGGGCACAGGTGGCATCTGTGTTGGTCCCTGCCCTGCCTGCGGCTGCAGTGGGACATAGCCCCATCCTGGGGGGCTCAGGGTGCCATGTCACCACCTCTGGCACGTGCTGAGGAGGCCGCTGCTTCTTGCTCCCTGTCTGCAGGTCCACGGGCAGAAGGCAGCCTGGGAGGACCCCGTGGAGTGGGTGCGGGACACCCTGCCCTGGCCATCGGCGCAGCAGGACCAGTCCAAGCTGTACCACCTGCCCCCACCCACCATCGGGCCCCACAGCACCGTTTCCCCTCCTGAGGAGCGCACCGTCAAAGACACGACACCCAGCTCCCTGGACTCGGACCCTCTGGTATGGCCATGGGGAGGAGGGCTGGGCAGTGCTGGTGGAGTGGGGAGAGCAGGGTGGAGCTGTGCTTCACTTTCCCAGTCACTTTTCAGTGTAAATACCCTTAACTTGGGGCTGCAGAAGCGCTTGTGCTCCCGGGAGGAGCACTGGGTGTGGGATGGTGGCACTGGCTGGCAGACAGCACGCTGAGGGACACTGTGATGTGCCCGTGAACGGGCACGGTGTGGTGGTCTAGGAGGTGTCGTGTCCACACGCAGGCGCACACAGACTGGGGCTGGCACATACGTGTCCCGGTGTGTCACCCGCAGCGGCTGTTAGCAGGCAGTGGGCTGACACGTGTGATGACAGCTGATGGCCAGGATGATCCCACCACACTGCCTTGGTGTGCTCAGCCTTGAGCATCCCAGCTGTGCCCACGGCCAGATCCTGGTGACGGGGAGGGAATTTGCGGGATCTCTGGGCTTTGCTTTACCCTCTAAGGAGCTTCTTAAGGTGGCTGGTTTGTACGGGAGGGCAAGGACGGCCAAGTGGCCTTGGCTTCCCCAAGGCATCCGCTAACTTGTCCCCCTTGGCCTTGGTGCCGTGTCCCCTCCCCACAGATGGCCATGCTGCTGAAGCTCCAGGAAGCCGCCAACTACATCGAGTCTCCGGACCGTGAGACCATGGTGGATCCCGACCTGCAGTCGACTCTGTGAGGCCCGGACGTGCCGGCCCAGGCAGAGGGGAGCCGCCGCCAGCCTCCTGCCAGGCTGCTCTCCTTTTCCTTTGGCATCCCGGAGCATGGGGCTGGCGAGCGAGCGGAGAGGACCGGGGCTCCGGCGCGTCCGGGCGGAGCGTGGGGAAGCTCGGCTCATCTGTGGGAGAGCGCGAGGTGCCGTGTCCCCTCCCGACCTTGGGGGTAGGAGAATCCTGGTTTCTCTTCTTGGTTTTTTCTGTCTCTATTGCAAACTCTCGGGCTTTGGGGCCAGGGCAAACCATGCGGCTGAGCCCCGGCTCCCGAGAGCTGCAGGAAGGCCCCTGCGTGGGGCAGGGACCCCGCGGGAGCCACCTGTGCTGAAGCTGGGGGGCACAGGCAGAGCGTGTGGCTGCAGGACGAGAGTGTGGGCGCGGGGGTCTGCAGCCCCCTCTCCACCCCACCAGGCACAGCTGAGGGCAGGCGATGGGCCCCGCTGCTGCAGGACGTGCCCACCTCGCGCTGGCCGAGGGGAGCGCGGCTCTCGCCACGTCTTTGTACGTTCCCCATTCCACCCGCATGGCAGCCACTGTGACCAGGACAGCCCAATAAACCCTGCTTTGGTTATTTTATTTTGTTTTTCCCCCTCCCATTTTCCTTTGGCCGAGTCCAGACTTTGCTTTGGTCCCTTTTTTTGTTCTGGTTCTTCTCTTGCCTGGCCAGGAGCCCGTGGCCCGGTGCCCACCGCTTCCCCCTAAGCAGCTCCCTTTCCCTTTGGTTTCTTTTGCAGCTGTTGGTTCCACCACTCAAACCACCTCTGTCACAAACTGGTGCTCACTGGACAATCTCCAGTCCCTGAACCCACCTCCCAGGGCCTCACAGCTTGGCTGAGATGGGATGTGGCAGCCGGGGACGGGGGGTGCTCCCAGGGCAGCCCCTTGCCTGGTGCCCCCCCTCTCCCCTTCCCCAAAAGCACAAGGCAGAGTCTGGGGACCAGGCCAGGATGCCATGGGGCATGTCCCCAGGGTACCCAGTGCTGGCCATGGGGACATCACTGCTGCCCTGGGCAGCCCAACGCCTGCCCTGTCCCCTCAGTGCTCTGGGGGGGGCACAACCTGCCCCACGTCCCCTCACTGCTCTCAGGCCAGGGGGCTGTGGGCTGGTGAGTGGTGCCTGGGGGTAGTCCCCATGCCGCTGGCTCCCCAAGGCCCTGTGCCCTCCTGTGCCCTGGCAAGGGTCTCTGCCCTGTGTCAGGGGTCTGGGGACACCTAAGGCTGCCACTTGTCCTCTTGGCCCTGTTGTGTAATGTCACAGGCAAGGCTCCTGGCATGGAGGGGATCACCCCGGTGCTGCCGTGGTGCCTTAGTCCCCGCCGAGTGGGAAGGGGGCACACGGGGCCTGTGCTGGCACCTTTGCTGCGGTGTCCTGTGACTGTCCCCACAGCCGCCTTGGCGGGGAGGGGATGGGGGTGCTAGCACTGCCCTGAGCACGGCCAGCTGGGGCTGCTGCCATCGGCTCCTCTCGCATGCCTGTCCCCAGGCACGACTCGGGGCGCTCTGCGGGGCCAGCACCTCCCTCCCCTCACCCAGCCGGGCTCTGTGCCCGCTGCTGCCTTTGGCCATGGCCCAGCTCGGCTCCCGCCCTCCGCCGTGGCCCTGGAGAGCCTTTTGGGGCGAGGTGACCCCAGAGCCGGCTCTGCCGAGCCTGTCCTTTCCCCTGCCCCCCTAGGCTGGGGACTGGGCAGCCTCGGCCCCCCTGTGCGGAGCCTGGCGTGGCCTTCAGGGACACCTCGCAACCCTCCGCCTCGCTGCCGGTGCCCCTGGGAGGCGGCCGCCACCTCTGCCCTTGGTGCTCTCTGGGCCGGTGCCTCTCGCCTCGCCGGCCGGCGCATCCCAGTGCAATGGTGCTCACTTCTCCCTCTGTCCCCCAGCCTCCCTGCCCTCTCCCCGCTGCTGCCCCGTGGGGCCGGCCAGCCCGGCCCCATTGCACAGGGACGTCCCTCCCCACGCTGGCTTGGACGCTAGGGCTTTCTGTTCGCCTTCTCTTGTGTTGCCGCCGTCGGCCAAGGACTCGCTGTAAATAGATCCGTAGTCGAACGCCCTGCGTGGGTTGGTGGGGCCCGGCCCTGCGCCTCGTTCCCTTTTTTTTTTTTTTTTTTTTTACTCTGTGATAACTGTGCTGTGCTGACTTCTTTTCTGATTGTACGAGACACCGGCTCAGCAGCCGCTCGAGGCCGGCGGTGGGGACCCGGCTGTCCCCTCCAGCCCCTCACCCTCCTCGGGGCTCTGGTGCCCAGGGCAGGAAAGGGCACGATGCACCTTTGGGGGCTCTGAGGAGTCCCGTGGGCGTAGGGGGCTCACGCACCCCTCTGGCTTTGCATGCCCGCAGGCAGCCTGGGCTGGGCCTGGCTTTCTTTTCTGACACCCCCACAGAACCACCAAAATGTCGACCAAATTGTCCCCGTCACTGGTTTGCTCGGGGCTCTGCTGCTGGGCATCCCCTGCCTGTTTCCTGGGGGTTTGCCCCGTCTTTTCCCGGTGCGGGGGTGTCTGTCGCCCCGTTACCCTCAGCCAGGCCGCGCTGGCAGCGAGTGGCACCCTGTGGTGTAAATCAGGAGGAATCCCCGAGGGGAAGGGCGAGAGCGATGATGGCACAGGGTAGGGGCTTTCTGACCTGGAGGGGTCAGGCCCTGGTGGGTTCCTCCTGGCTCACACCAAGCACCCCGTGTCCCCAAGCGTGGCAGTTGGGTGTCCCCCAGGGCTGCTAGTGTCTGTGGGCTGAGCCCCTCTGTCCCCACAGGGACAGGGCCAAGGGCTGCACTAACTCATCCCCCTGACACCCCCGAGGGTGCCTGTGACCCCCAAAGGAGCCCTTCACCCTCCCAGGGTGCCTGTCACCCCCAAAGGTGCCTGTCACCCCTAAGGGTACCTGTCACTCCAAAGGAGCTGGTCGTCCCTAAAGGTGCCTGTGACCCCCAAAGGAGCCCATCACCCCCCAAAGGTGCCTGTCACCTCCAAAGGTACCTACTGCCCCCAAGGGTGCCTGTTGCCCCCCAAGGATGTCTCTGACCCCCAAAGGAGTCTGTCACCTTCCAAGGGTGGCTGTCACCTCCAAAGGTGCCACTTGCCCCCAAAGGTGCCCGTGGCCCCTGGGAGCACCAGGAGCCCTCCCGAGGGGCTGGAGCCAGGCGTCGCCAGCGCCTCACCCTCCTGCCCCCTCGAGCTGCTGCCGCCCGGTGGCCTGAACCTTACAATTTTAGCTTTTTTCTATTAAAAACAACCAACCTTTTTTTAATTAAATAAAAGACGAAATGGACAAATTCCTGTTTTAGATGATCTGTGTAATTGACTGGGTTTTGTGTTTCTTAACTGCATGGTATTCCTGCGAGGGGTTTTATAGCACTTTTTAAATTTCTCTTTAAGATTTTGGTCCAGATTTCTACTGCTCTCGCTTGTCTGTCTTTGCTTTTTCCTTGCCTCCTCCAACTTTGTAAACTCGCTCCATTTTATACCTGATGTTGAGACCCAACCCCACGTTGTACATAGCTGCGGGAACAATCATAGGGAACAAACACCATCTGGACTCTTTCCACGATTAGTTGTTTTTACTTAAAAGAAATTTTAAAAGAAGTATAAGAGGAAGCCAGGGAAAGGCTTGAGGTTATTACGAAAGACAGAAGCAAATCCAGCCCTGCGCCAAGTCAGCTCCTGCTGCCCACGCTGCCCGCACCACCCGGCATGTCTTGTCTCGGTCGTCTGTCTAACACCATTGGATTCAATAAAGTTATCTCCTGTACCCCCTGTCTGCGTGTCCTGTGTCCGGGAGACCTGTCCCTGCACGGGCAGGGGTGGGACAGTTGGGAAGGGGGGCTCCTGGGTGGAAATCTGAAAGCTGCTGGGAGAGATTCTGTCGGTCAAGGGCGCCTCTTCCGAGATCGTGCTCCTGTGGAGCCCGGGGTGTGCAGAAATGCTGCTGGGTTGAAATCCTGGCAGATGCTGAGAGCGGGAGGTCCCTCCCCTGGGGCAGGAGGGTCTGAGCTGAGCCGGAGGGTGCAGGGAGCAGTTGGAGGGGCTTGGGGTGGCTGGGCATCCCCCGAGCACCTTGCACCTCGCCAGGGCTGGTCCCCATCTCCCCTTTGGCAGGGACACGGTGGTGAGGGATGCCACCCCACATCTCCAGCACAGGGAGACAGAGGTGGGACAGTGTCCCCCAAGCAGCGAGGGGGTTGGCAGGGAGCGGGTGAGGACGGGGCAGCAGGTACCAGGTGAGAGAAGGGGGATCCCGGTGCTCCCCGGGGCAGCTCGGGAGGTGTTTCCACTCCGGAGACCGATGCTGGAGCGGGGACAGATGCTCCAGGAGCCGTTAGTTAATCCCAGGATGGTGAGGAGCTGTAACAGGCTGCAGTGGCGAGAGCAAGGCCAGGAGAGGGCACTTCTCACCTCCGGTCCAGAGAGAGTTCCAATGAGTTCGTTACTGGTGGGTGCAATCCTGAACCTGGAGAGCGGGACTGGTTTGGGGACCCACAGCCCCACATCTGCAGAGACAGGACATGTGGGTGCTCTGGAGCCTCTGCTCGCCCTGGGAGCCCCCGCAGGCAGGAGAGCAGGCAGTGGTGCAGCACAGGGGTCCTGTCCTGGCCCCAACGTGTGGTGGGATTTCCAGCCCGAGAGCCACGGCACAGAGCCAGGGAGCCAGAGGGACTGGTCCCCAGGCACCGGGGGGGGGGGGGGGGGGGGGGGTGGGGGGGGAATGTGGATGCAGAAGGACCCCACCGTGCAGCGGGGACAACGCTGAAGCTTCGATTTCAGCCGGATGCCTGCATTTGGGAGAACTTGGCTACGTGTTTCAGGGGTGATGGGCAGGGGAGGGACCCCTCGGTTGGGGAAACAGCAACCACGGGCTCGGTGCTGTGGCGGGGATGTGGTCCCTTCCCCTCCTTCAGCAACTGGTGGGAGCTCCTGGGTGTCTCTGCAGTGCGGGGTGGCCCGTGCAGGGCTGGAGCGGAGCTGAGCAGCCCCTGGGCTCGTTGGTCACCTGCCTGTCCCAGCTGCTGCCCCTGCAGCCTGTGGCCTGGGGGTTCAGGGACCCCTCAACAGAGACAGGGAACAGCAGAGCCCCCTGCCCTCACGCAGGGCACAGGGACCCCAGTAGCACCTGGCCATGTTGGGGACAGTCAGTGTGTGTACAGATGGGTGGGCAACCTCAGCCACGGGGCACAGCACCCCTCAAGCACCCGGCCTGTGTGGCACCTGCTCGTGGTGCAGCAGCACCCAGCGGCTCCTCCCAACGGGACCCACAGCCTTTGTGCCAACAGCACCTCCCTCCCCAGGGAAACGCAGCCCTTTCTCATAGACCCACAGAATGCTTTGGGTTGGAATGGACCTTCAAAGACCATCCAGTCCACCCCCCACCATGGGCAGAGACACCTCCCACTAGAATATGGCTTAAAGTCCGCTCCAACCTGCCCTTGAACCCCTCCAGGGATGGGGCAGCCACAGCTTCTCGGGGCAACCTGGGCCAGGCTCTCACCACCCTCACAGCAAAGAATTTATTCCCCGCATCTCATCTCAATCTCCCCTTTCAGCTTAAAACTGTCCCCTCTCCTCCTAGGGCTCCCCTCCCTCATCCAGAGTCCCTCCCCAGCTTTCCTGGAGCCCCTGGAGGGACTGAAAGACTCTATAAGATCTCCCTGGAGCCTTCTCTTCTCCAGGCTGAACCCCCCCAACTCTCTCAGCCCCCCCTCCCAGCAGAGGGGCTCCAGCCCTCCCAGCATCTCCGGGGCCTCCTCTGGCCCCGCTCCAACAGCTCCGTGTCCTTCTGATGTTGGTGTCCCCAGAGCTGGAGGCAGCACTGGGTGGGGATGTCTCCCCAGAGCAGAGCAGAGGGGCAGAATCACCCCCTGGCCCAGCTGGCCATGGGGCTGGGGATGCAGCCCAGGGGTGGGGGGCTTTCTGGGCTGCCAGTGCATGTTGCCAGCTCATGGCCAGCTTTTCATCAACCAGCACCTGCAAGTCCTTCTCTGCAGGGCTGCTCTCCATCCATCCATCCATCCATCCATCCATCCATCCCCCAATCTGCTCTGACAGTATGGATTGCCCCAGCCCAGGTGCACAACCCTGCACTTGGCCTTGTAGAACTTCATGAGTATTGCATGGCCCCACTCCTCCAGCATGTCCAGGTCCCTCTGGGCGCCGTCCCGTCCCTCATGTATGGACTGCACCACTCAGCTTGGTGTCATCTGCAAACTTGCTGAGTGTGCTCTTAATCCCACTGTCTTTGTTGCTGATGAAGATATCAAACAGTACTGGTCCCAGTACAGACCCCTGAGGGACACCACTCGTTACAGGTTTCCACTTGGACATCGGGACGTTGACTGTAACGCTTTGGACGCAGCCACCCAGCCAGGTCCTCATCCATTGTATGGTCCACCCATCCAGACAATCCAATCTCTGGGGGGGCGGCATGAACTGCCACAGCCACGGCGCACCCATGGGTGTCTCCCAGAGGGTGCACAGGGGGTGTGTGGTGGCTTTGGGTGACGCAGCTCCCAGCTGGGCTGGGACCCCCTCCCAGCTCCCGGCACCATCTCTCCCGGCAGTGGCCCATGTGCACCCCGGGCCCAGCTTTCCCTTCCCTCCGCCACGACGGGGCTGGCCCGTGCCCACCACCCCCTGGAGCTGGACCAGCCGCTGCTTCTGCGGCCAAGCAAGAATGCTGAGGAACCTCTGCTTTAATTTAACTAATGGGCAGTGCCTGCTCATTAAAGCTGGTCTGCTGCGGCTCATGGCCACTGCGGGGGATGGGAACACCAGTCCCACGGAGAGTGGCTGTGGCTGCAGCAGCCGGTCACGTCCTGGGGTGGCTCTGGTGTCTGGACCGTGGCGCTGGGGCTGGGCACTACTGTGGTGGGGGGGGGACCCCTGCTGGGGTGGGTTTGGGGTGGTCCCACAGGGTCCCTGTCCCCAGCTCAGCTGCAGGGAGCACGGGGTGCCCCAGGGTCCCCAGCCAACGGGGAGGGGGAACCCACAACGAGGGCAAACCAGTCACCACCACCTCCCCTCTGCGCCGCGCCGGGGTCCTCCCTTGTCTCCCATTGGCTTTTTCTTGCTGTTTTGAACCCAAATCAAAAGGTGGGCTCCCAGGAGCCCAGGATCTGGGAGTGGCACAGTGGGGGTGGCATGCTGGGGGTGGCACGGATCACCTCCCACCACCCCGCTCTCCTGTGGCCACAACAGGGACCAGGTGATGGCTCCAGGTCTCCATGGTGAGTGTGGGGTGACGGTGCAAGGTGACCTGTGCAAGGTCACTGGTGAGACCGGTGTGACTACACCAGCAGAGGGTGAGGTGACCAGTGTGAGGGACAGGGGTGACCTTACGGATGGGGGTGACCAGTGTTGAGGTGACCAGTGTACGGTGACAGGGGTGAGGTGACCAACGAGGGGTGACCAGTGCAAGGTGATGAGTGTGAGGGGACCGATGGGAGGTGATCGGTTCAAGGTGACTGATGAGGGGTGACCAGTACAGGGTGACTGGTGTAAGGTGACACACGGGAGGTGATGGATGTGAGATGGTCGATGAGAGGTGACCAGTGTGAAGTGATGGGTGTGAGGCGACTGCTGGGGCCTGACAGGTGTGAGGTCACTGGTGCAAGGTGACCGATAAGGGGTGACCAGGGTGAGATGATCCGTGTGAGGTGACCGGTGTGAGGTCACCCTGGTGAGGGGTGACAGGTGTGAGGTCACCAGTGCAAGGTACCTGGTGGGGGGTGGCCAGCGTAAGGAGACTAATGGAAGGTGACCAGTTTGAGGTGGCCAATGAGGGGTGACCAGTGCGAGGTAACGGGGTGTGAGGTGACGGGTGTGAGGTCACCCCAAGGAAAGGTGACAGTTGTGAGGTGACCACTAAGGGGTGACCCACAGCGGGAGGGGACTCCGCTGAGGGGTGACGGGTGTGAGGTGACGGGTGTGAGGTGACGGGCGTGAGGTCACCCCAAGGAAAGGTGACAGTTGTGAGGTGCACACTAAGGGGTGGCGGGTGCGAGGCGGGGGATGAGGTGCGATCCGTGGTGCGGGGTCCCCCCCGAGGTGCCGGGCGAGGAGACCCCCGTGGAGTCCCCGCGGGGGGCGGGGCGGGGGGCGGGGCCTCCCGGCGGTGGGCGGGGCTGCGCGGAGC